TCCACACACCCCTCCTCCTTCACACACACACACACACACACACAGACACAGACACACACACACACAAACACCCCCCCTACACACACACACACACACCTGCTCATGTGTAGCCACTGCCAGAGTCAAACACTCCTGGTACAGTCCAATAGCTGTCTCCACATGCATCTGCTGAGAGTGAGCGTTGGCCAGCGTGAGTAACACCCGCATGGTGATTCCCTTCTGATTGGTCTGCAGTTTCCTCGCAGCCTCAAGAACATCGATGCATGCTTCATACCTTTTGTGATGGAAGAGCACCACTCCAACCTCGCTCAGCTTTTCATATGGATCCATACCTGATAAGCACATTCAGTTTAATCTTTTTTTTTTTGGTACAGATTTAATACCCCATTAGAAAAAAACAAGGTTGTTTTGAAGGCTTGATTGAGATGTGTATAATCAAACTAAAGTGATCATTGCTATATTAATAATAATAATAATAATAATAATAATAATAATAATAATAATAATAATAATAATAATAATAATAATAACAATAGTCCATCCATCATAAAGTGATGATGACCTCTAACATCCAAGGAGGAAGAAAAGTTATAGACCTTGCAGTAGAGAGAAAAGAAAAGGAAATAACAGCATGCAAGGTGTAATGATAATAAACGCCACACCTCGCTAATGCAACACCATAAAGCCATCCTGAAATACTACTAAAAATTTGCCATCAACTTATCACGATGTCTTAGTGTGGTATTCAACATTTCATACCTTCATCACAACCTCAAGGGTTCAATCCCTAGCTCCAATGGGCAGACAGGTAAACCCTCAGGAACAATTCTTTGCCTGGATTTATCTTGTTAATTAATCAAAGTTCATGGGGGCACAGTAGCTAAATATGTATAGCGTTTGCTTGTAAACCGAGAGATGTGGATTTCAATCCCAAACAGCGTCTGGGGTTTTTTTTTCATATTTCCTAAACTCCCTGGACCTAGGTTAGGTTTGTTCTAATGCATAAGCCTACCAGTCTCAAGGAGGAAAAATTCATTTTATAACACCTTTCAAACCCAGCACAATGTTCTCCTCTCAGTACAAATATCCCTTCTGTTCCAACGTCCTGTGAAGGGATCATTTTGACTTAAAGTGGGGAAGAAGGACAGTTACCAACCTTTCAGAGTAATCGCCAGGCTAGGGGTAATCTGGCAGAATTGTGACACTGATCCTGCGATGTGATTGGTCACTTTTTCCGGATTACTTCCCTCCACATCCAAGGCGGTCAACATTGCAGACAGTGATTGTTTATGCATGCTCATATGCTGGTAGGCTATGCCCTGAAGCAGGTATCCCTGATTTGAGGAGAAAAAGAAAATATGTGAGGCTTCAACCTGAAATCAGGCACTTGGCAAAATAATGAGATAAAAGAAACCAGCAGTTTTCCACTTGTTCGGCAATCTTTATTGATTTTTGGGTCTTTGGTTTAACACCTTTTATGTCCATTTAAATACACATTTCTGTGTGGATTTTACTGAAAAACTGTACATTTTCAGTTTCCAAGGACTCACAAGCTAAGGAAGTCACCAAACTTTGGTGCCCATTTTCTTGCTTATTTCCCCTCTGAAAACAAGTGACCCCCACTTCCCTCATATGCAAATATCTTGACGTGGGTGGTTGGCGGGTGCTCTGGTGTGGTTTGCTTCTTCTTTCCTATCAAACATCTATCGTCCTTATCT